TTTATGTGAGTTTTTGTCTCCCTCTGTCTGGCTAATTCTTCTTCTTTGAGCTCTACAGCCTTTTGTTGAATTTGGCTTGGTCCAGAAATAAATTAGCGTCTCACACTCGAAGGTCTCTCTCGTCTGAAACTAAACAGAGAAAACGAAATGATTTTGCTAATAAATAATATAGTGTTATTAATTACTTAATTATGGTTTAGCTTTCGCCTGCGACTCCGTCAGCGCAAATTAAAAAAAAACTTAATTAGCAGCCTACGTATTCTTCCAGACTATGTTGTTTATCTGTGCCAAATTTCATCAAGAGACGTTCAGCAGTTTAGACTAAAAGTTCTAGCAAACATTCATCCATCTATCCAAACTTTCTTTACATTATATAGTAAGATTTAATTCTTAACTTGTATTTAATATTACTGTTATCTTCGAGTACTTTTTTTACAAGAGAAGAGGGTTGGAAACACCACAGCGATTATACCATAGCACATACGCAACTCCAGATAAACTGCAGATACGACTCTTAAGATAGAAATGCCTTCACTTTTTGAAAGACCCTAAATTGAACTCCGTTTAAAACATCGAGGATAGAACTTTCCTCATCATGGCTGTGGCAGGAGATTACTATTGCTAATTAGTATTAAATAAGAGAAAGAAAGAAAGTACGAAGTGGATAAATGAAATACACAGGTAACAAAGAGATAAAACTATTACATGCGTAGTTTTTAACGTAGGTACACTTATGCATAATTTTTCACAAATATAAAATGTAATTGCGTGGAAACTGTTCCGAGTAAATAATTACAGAAACTTCAAAAAGGTTGCCGTTAATGTTTATCACGTTTTTGCTTTCATGAATTTAATCATGAACAGCGTAATTTTGTAATTTTTCGCATGTTCAATTTATTCCAATTCACTTGTTCTCTTGTTAATTTATTAACGAATATAAACATCCGGATGTTAAGCGAGACGTAGGTAACTATTAAACTAGTTTAAAAAGTTTGCCTCTCTTGTCAAAAAAAATATTAGATTGCATTAGAGAAAGTTTCTAGTTTCAGCAGCTTACATTCAAAGCTTATCTACTTTAGTTATAACCTTATTACTAAAGTTTACCTGATAGCAGACGATTGCAGTTAGATTATAACTAATAATATAAATGCGAATGTTTAGATGGACTGATGGTTGGATGGAGGTTTGTTAGACTTTGTAGCCTAATCGGCTGAACGGATTTTGGTGAAATTTGGTACAAATGTAGAGGATAGTCTGGAAAAACACTTTTGTTTCTTTTTTAATTCCACGCGGACGAAAGCTAGTTGTTAAATAAAGTGAACGCCTTATCTGTTTTCTAATGCAATGATTTTTTATTCTTCTACAAAGAAAATGAAAGAGACGTAGCGTTAATTAATTCCAAATTGAATTATTTTTATATTTTCCCTCTTTTGACTAACTAGAAATGCAGATAAGTGTACATTTTGCCAATGTCATTAACCTGTATACACAAAACGTGTGTGATGGACTAATGGATTGTGAGAACTCAGTACTGTGAAAACATTGCAGTAACAAGATAAACGTAATTACGTTATATACATGAAAGCGACCATCTACCAAATGTAATTGCTTTGTTACAAGACCAGAAACTTTCAATGAAAATAATGTATGTCTACACTGATATTATAAAAAATTATTTGTATTTTTGTATGGATTGAAATAACTTAAAATCTACAAGGCCGATTTTAATAATTCTTTCGCAATTAAAAATCTACTTTATCGATAAGTAACATATGCTATATTTTATTATTTTATTTATCACGGACGAAGTCGCAAGCAACAGCAACACTAATTTATGTGGATTAGCCGCTATAGTCATAAAAAATTAAATTCTTAATTGCTTTTTGTCTATTCGTAATTCATTGATAACGCACCAAAATTCGGATATTATTTGTATTTCTATTATGTGCATACTTACTTAGTTTATATTATTTTATGCGTGCATTATTCAAAATTATCTTCGTTCAAAAAATATATATATATAATGAAAATTGTTACTAATTAAAAATTAAATGGTTTGGCGGGAATGTGTAATAAAACATTTGAACAGTTTTGAGGTAATAAAAAAAATTTAAACTCTTCATTTTTTTATTTCATTTGACATTCATATATACCCAATCTAAAATCGTACCGATCAATATCAATACATGCATTGCATTCCTTGCATTTGTGCAAACACAAATATTTTTACAAATGGATACGATTACAATAATGCAAATTAAAAGCATACAGACTTGTTATTCCAGTCGTTGGTTCGAAATCGTTTATTGTGGCAGCACTTCCAGGTTCTCGTTAAAACGAATATGCTAACAGCAAACTGGAGAGATTCCAGTGAAACAACCGCACTGACGCTTAAATAAATACATCGTATCTATTCCCTTTGAAAACAAGTGAAAACAGAATGTCTTGATAAAGTTTCACTACAGTCAAAACCCTGTAATGGGAATATAACATATGGAATTAAATACTTAGCAGTAGCAGAATTCAGTAAATAAAACAAAAAAATGCGAACAAATCATTTATTTACGAATAAAAGAACATTAAAATTGTGTATCTGTATTCAATATAATTATTCTATAACCACTGTGTCGTCTTTTATAAATCATAACGAGTCTAAGTAAAACAAGCCAAGATAGGGCTCAGTCCAAACGTACAATATAATTAATATTGTTTTCATATTTTTTAATTAAGGCCCAACAACTCCCAACTAGCACCGTTCATCCCAAGATCAGTCAAACATGGTCACAATACCTCACTTCCTAAAAAGTTTTACATTATAAAATTAATAATAAATCTTTAAACAACATTTATACTATGGCTATAAGCTATGAGATTCTATGTAAATTTAACTATATCTACAAAGTTCCTCGTTAATAAATACTAAATAAAAACTGGTAGTAAACGAAACTTATAGGCTAACCAAGAATATAAAACCCTGGTCTTGAGTCTTCCCTTTTATAATTACTATATAACACGCACAAGGGTTAATTCCGTATTTTTCCGCAATATGACAAGGGATTTCTATTTCCTATCAGGCTATATTTAGCAGTCACAAGTTTTACATAACCTCGAAATAATTTAATTCGTATATTTCCCTTCAAAAAGTATTGGATTTATTTTTCTCACATAGAACCTCATAGACATCATAGATAGAAAGAAACTATAAATATAAACCAATCAAAACAAATATATACAACATCTAAGACAATTACAATGGTTCCCTGCTTAATTATTTTATATCTTACCTATATTCAATAACAGCTAATTGTGACAATAGTAAATTGCAAATACTATCGCAGCTATATAAAAAAGTATATATCTACGACGTCATAGCAGTTTATATAATCTATTGGACACTTAGGGCCTGTCCCACCAAATTGTAAATCGTCTGATAACAATTCAACGTGTAAATGTGATGGAAATATCGGATTTTGTCCCCTTATCTGATAGAGACGTCATTTTTAAGCTAATTGAGCCTCTATCAGACAGTAGTGGGATAGGCCATTAATCAAAATATTTACTTTCCTATTTATAGCACTGGTGGTTATCATGTATTGGTTAAAAATAATATATATAAAATTATAACAAAATTAATTAGGAATATATAAAAATCAAGACATGTTACGACGCCGTAGTTATATATTTATTAATATTTTAACACTTTTAAAATGATCATATAATATCATCTTTGGTTTCAACTTAATAATGCGTTCCACCATTCAGAAAAATAAAACAGCTTTACTATTTCCGAATGGTCAGACAAGCAAAATTAAATAAAATTAATCTTCACGTATACAATAAATTCTCTTAATATAAAAATGACTTAACATTTTATAATAAACTAACTTCGGCAAGTGATCTCCTGACTTCTAAACATAATTATGTTTACATACATTTAATAACGATCGTAACTATTTATAGAACAATATAAAAATGCACGTCAGTATCAACATTTCATTGCACTTAACAAAATAATTGTATTTACAAAATAAACTTAATAATTCTAAGGCAAATGCTTTGAGGAACCACAAAATTCAATATAACAAAACCCATTTTGGTGTAAAATGATTGTCGGTATATTAATATGAAGCTATATTAGAGTCGGGCAGGGGTGGCAAACATTTATGTGCATGCCAATTTCTAAAAAAAAATGTCTAATAATTTGTTAAAAAAAAATGTTATCTTTTATATTGGAATAATTCCCTAATATAAAGATTCGCGTTCACTCATAAATACTTGAATAAATGAATTATGAATTTTGTGATTAGTTAAGCGCCCATATTGTGTACCATTGGTTCGACATCCCTGGACTTTGGATTTTTTGTTAAATACTCGTGAACAATAAAAGCGGACTCACCTTTGACTAAACTATCGCACAACACACAATTTAACTGTTTAGTTGCATAACTACAAATCGAGTAGTGTGCGCACCGCTTTATAAGCTCAAAGGAATCAAAGCGAGACTAAACAGTTGTGCGATGGTTTAATCAAATGTGTGCGCGTGCTCCAATACTTGTCTATGTATGTCACGATGACCTTTGTACAGCGAAAGTAAACATCTGTGACGTTATTAAGATCAAATTACGCACGAGTGTCCTATAAACTTTAATTTGAAAACTATTGTCAAATAACGTTATTTACCTCGGTATAGGGGATTGTATCGGCTGTTTCAAAAAACTTAATATAATAGCTACAAAACGATAATCTCATGTTTGTTGGCGCTAGTGAGTACAATTTAGTTTCACTTATGCCCACCGGGTCAAATTGTCGATCTATATATAAAATTGTTTACAATCAACATATTTCTCTGTTTCAATTATATTTTGTGATAAATACTCCTATATAATAATATTGAACAACTTAACATATATAAACTGACTTACAATAATTTTGTCTCGTACCAATAAACTTTAAAAAACATTACATAGTAACACAGTCATAAAATAACCTTTAATTCACAATATTTACATATAAGTAGTCGATTTAAATTTAATCATTTGATAAAAATTTTAATCACTTCCTGTAAACAAATCATTAAAACATCGTTACATAGAAATCTTATATCAAAGGCATATAATACAAATTTTAATATAATTGAGTCGACAAAAAAATCAGTTTATATAAAAATAAATTAAAAATGTAATTATATAAAATCCGTCATAATTAAAAGTTTTAAATCGTTGTTTAATTACCTTGGTACCACATAATTATCCATTAGCAATAATTCAGATATCCTTTAATTCATTTATATTCGTCCATAAATCTCTTACACATGTGAACGAGGTCTATAAACTTGGGCCTGAGGTTGGGGTCCAGGGTCCAGCAGTCCTTCATCAGGTGACGGAATATCTCCGAAGGGCAGCCTTCAGGGATTTGGAAACTGAAACAATTTATATCATTGTTTACATATAAAACGGATGGATGGATGGACGTTAGTATGTATCTGTGGCGGATGTTACAATCTGTATGAATTTGTATAAATGTGGAACATAGGTTGAACGTATAAGCTACTAATTTTGTCTTTCACGCGGAATCACGGGCGATAGCTGGTAGTTATTACTACCTTATATTTAAGGTTTTATTTAATGAGTGTTCAACAAACTCATGAAAAATTTAAAATAAAAAGCTCTATTGATTTCATGAATTAAAAAAGAGATTGACAAAAGTATAAAGACAAAAACAGGCTAATCTTAGTAATAAACCAATTCTTCTTATAATGTCATCTTCTTTCGAAGCTCGGCGATCATTAGGACAACTTAAACACGACTCATTACGTATTCATATACTCCTGTCCTGTACAACTTTAGTTTTAGATTTTCGTACCCGAGGTTTAGTTTTGGAGCGGTAAATAGCCAGAGGTAATGTGGTCATGGGACACACACATAATCAGTCGAAATTTTGCTATATTATTAAGTAAATACAGTGTATATAAGCATATAATAGAGATGTATAAGTGGTTGGTGTTACCATGAGGCGCGGTCGCGGGGCCGGTCCACGTCGAACTTGGGCACCTCGTGCCTGGCGCGGGAGAAGATCTCCCAGGCGGTGACGCCGTACGACCACACGTCGCTCTTCGTAGAGAAGTGCCACGGCTCCACCGCAGACTCCGGCGCGTACCTACACAACACATACACTTTAATCTGATATATGTCAAACACCTGTATTTATACAATAAAAATATTTACTATTACATATTACTGCTGAACGAATCTCGATGAAATTCGGTTTTAAAAATAGTTTAAAAAAAAACCGACAAAAAAATGATTTTCGTTATCAGCTGCGCAAATACATCATATTCAAATATGGATTTTGTCAATATTATAAATAGACTCCAATAAAGTATTTGATAGTAACCAGTTAATAGGCAGCAGGCGCTCCGTCTTGATCCTGTAGGCGCTCTCCTCCTTGGGGATGATCCTGGCGAGGCCGAAGTCGGAGATCTTGACGTGGTACTTGTTGACGACGAGGATGTTGCGCGTCGCCAGGTCGCGGTGCACCACGCTCTTCGCGGACACGTGGTCCATGCCCTGCGACACACCGACATTATACACTAAATGCCACACACAAGACCTAGCCTTTCACATCATTTTATCACGAAAATTAATTAAAACATTATAGCGTATAACTATTAGTGGACAGATAAATAACTGAATCAAAAGAGCTAGTTGGTATATTAGCTTACTAATATAAATGCGAATATTCAGATGGATGGATTGGAGGGATTATTCCCAACCGTCTCGCCGCTCTGTCCAGACGTGGGGACATATAGGAATAAATAGTTTCATCCGTCCCACCTTTTGCGACGAGGGGTCTGTTAGACAATAATTTATTTCTTAACGTTCATCTGTCATCTTATTGGTGATAGTGGGAATGAAAGTCGGGACGTACGAAAATTTTTATTCTCATCTGACCCCATGTGGGGACAGAGCGGGGAGACGGTTAGGAAAAATCCAAACATGACTGTATAATTTACATGAAATAAGTACAGAAGTTACTTACTGTGGCGATATCCTTAGCGTATTTAAGTAGATGTGATATCCGCAGCTTATCGCCTTGGAACTTGAGGTAGTAGTTGAGGGAGCCCTCCTCCAGGTATTCCATCACGATCAGCACATCGGAGCCGTGGTCCCAGGAGTAGCCCAGGATCTCCACGATGTTTATATGCTGTAAGGACTAAAAACAAACGGGTGGTGTTAATTAAATTGAAACAATTTTAATATCACTTAAAAAGCCTTATATTCTAGCTTTCGCCCGCGACTCCGTCCGCGTAGAATTTAAAAAAAACAAAACAAAAGTAAGTAGCCTATGTGTTCTTACAGACTGTCTTCTAGAACTAGGACAAATTTCATCAAGATCTGTTTAGCCATTTAGGTTACAAACTCACAAACATCTATCCATCTATAATTTCGCATTTATAATATTAGCAAGATTATATACCTTCATAATTTCCAATTCATTCTTAAAATCTTCATACAAATTTCCATTTCTTTCGGAAGCCTGTCGAGTGAGTTTCTTCACCGCCACCTCCTTCCTCTGAGATTCCTGATTGTCGCGCTCCATCCACCCCTTGTACACGTGCCCGTAGTTACCCTACAACGTAACATACACTTTATTTAGCACATTCTATATCTAATCGACTAAAATATAATAAAGTCAGGAAATGTCATTAAATGGACGATTATTGCCAGTGTTAAATATCTATTTCGCTTGGCACAAGACCGGAAAACGTTTGTTGAATTGAAAATCAGCCTCCATTAGTAGAAACATAGAAAAGATATCAAAGAACATTGTAGACAGAAAGAATGTTGACCTTAGGTTCTACCTATACTCATATGAAATGTAAATACACACTACTTTGTAGCGTAGGATGTCAGCAATCACAGCATGATTTTGTACAACTCTTTCTTTTATAAAAAGCATTACACTTACGAGCCGCTAAGGCCGTATATTTTCACGCTATTAAACTTATGTACGTCTATTGGAAAAACCTTCATTGGATAAGGGACCGTAAACCACAAGCCGACAACATTAAGGAAGCTAGCCATGGTAACGGTAATCGTTATCCAATGTCAAAGGCCTTCGTTGTCATTTGTGCATGCAAAGAATTACGCTTACGCCACGAAGTAGTGTGTGTTTAGACTTGTTAGTATATATACAGATTGTTCGACTCACGCTGCCAATCTTCTTGGTGAGCGTGACGAGGTACGTCTTCCCTTGCGACACGATGGACTCCATGAGGCGCGGCGCGGCGCAGGCGGCCAGCTCGTCGCGCTCGTCGCCCGCGCCGCACGCGCTGCTGCGCCCGCTGCCGCCGCTGCCCGCGCTGCCCGCGCCGCTCGCCCCGCTGCCCGCGCCGCGCAACGCGTACGCCAGCGCGTTCATATTCTCCAGAGAGTTCGATGATTTGTTGTCCGAGAACTGTACATTACAAGGGTTATCAACAATAGGACAAGACCCTCTAAAGCCTAGACCTAATTTAAGTCCCTTGCATTTTCAGGATGAGAATGGAAAGTCAATTTAATGGCGGAGACGTATAGGAAGGGAAAATATCGTTATATACGTCTCCTTCTCCGTTGTTTACAAGTAGGTAACTCATCATTGCGACTGTATATGGGCAGCGATCGCTTCGCTTTGTCGGCGATTCAGGTGGCCGCTTGCTCGTTTGCCAACTTATAATATAAAAACTATTATCATGCGCAAGAAAGCATATCGTTTACAGTATAAGTTTCAGATAAGAATATTACGCATGCGCGCTATTATTATGACGGCATAACTATCAAATCAATTAAAATAGACAAGATCAGTTGAACCGTTAGATTTACATTTACTTCAAATCATGTTAAAAAGATCACATTTTCAAAAAAAAACTGGATATTATAAAAAATCTAGATAGAGCGTCTGCTATGTCCATTTTATTAATGTGTTATACTCACAGGATTGTCATAGGAGTCCGACATAGTACCATTCATAGACGGCACACTGCTATCCACAGATATCAGCGACTTGTTGCTGCCCGCGTCGCTCAGCTCACTCGGTATGAACCTGTCACCTGGGAATAATTTCAACGACGTTAAACAGTTTTTTTATAGTTAAAATCTCCACTAAGAGACGCCCTTAGTCACGATTCAACAAGCAATTAATTGCTATTGCTTAGAAAACTTTATTTAAATATATATATACCACTCACTTGAAACAGTGTCTGCATGCTCCAAATGGTCAAGAGAGATCTTTGGTTCCTCATATGTATGTATTGGCACGTATTCTGAAAAAAAAAACTATTTTTACAAAAATATAAATACTCAGATGTTTGTATGATAATGAGTTCTGATAATATAATATATAAATAAATTTAAACTATCATACGAGAATTGGATACAACTACACTATAATCGATTAAAACAAATATAAACACTGCAATTGTAATATAATAACAAGAATAAACTATTGTTTTTCTTATTAACCCTTAAGATGATAAGAGATGGCTGGATTGCCTGACATGATCAAAAAGCGAATGGTGACTGAGATGACGGATGATAGAGTTATGTGGAGAAATAAGGTAGGAAAGATGATGTTTAGTTACGTTATATGTGTGATTGTGTGTGTGAGTCACCTCTGTGCAGCATGTGGTTCATGTCCCGCATGATCTCCTGCGGACGCAGCGGGTCGGACTGCCAGCACTGCCGCATCAGCGCCCACACCTCGCCCGGGCAGCGCGCCGGCCGCAGCAGCCGGTCGCCCATCTCGTAGCTCTGCGCACAACGCCCGCCTCACACACTGACACACACCTCACACCTCGGATACGAAGGGAGAAGAGGGCATAGCACGAAAATTTACAAAAAAGTATCAGCATCGTCGTTAATATTTGTATGAATTTATTCACTAGAGGCACTGCAGAAATCTCATTTTTGTTGATTTCGATACGAATACTATCTCGCAAATTTTCGTGATTGGTTCCCTGTTTTTAAAAGTGGAAATGTATAAAAGTTAACACTTACATACAACGTAAACACACAAGTTACATGTTTACAGTCACATTTTTTTCAAAAATTGACATAGACAAAATAACTTGTAGTACATACCCTTGCTGTCAACACCGGATTGGTGTCATTGGGAGATTGTCCGTAAGAGAATATCTCCCATAATGTGGTCGCGAACGCCCAGATGTCCGCTATGACAGATCTCTTCGCCAGGTTCAAATCCGAATAGAATTCTACAGGTATCCAATGGACGCTAAAATAATTATCACAAAACAAAATAATTAAAGAATTGACCTACGTACGTCCGCGATAACTTATATTATTTCTATCTCTTTCATTTTTAATATGAAAATCATATGATTACGTCTGGTATTAAAGTAATTAATTGAATCTATAAAGAGTATGCAAAGTTTCTGCTTTTTCTCAATGTCAGCGGTCACTATAATGTTTGGTCAATTCTGGATGGTCGTTTGACATCTCGTATTATTAAAAAATCTTCATTTTATAAACCATATTTATGCCCGGATGCCGTGGAATATTAAAAATATTTTGTACAGTACTGATTATCTGACTATGAAGTGTTTTTTTTTTTATCTTTCTCGGTTTCGAGTGGGAATTCATTGTTTAGTACACAATTTACAGGACTATTAAGTATTAGGTACATGTTTTGAAGAGCTGAAGTAGTGGAATAAAGTCGAATGTGCGTACTCTTGTTGTGTGTATTGACGTAGCGTGGGCCCGGCCAGCTTGACGAGCAGGCGGTCGTGCGCGGCGGCGGCCAGCAACAGGCGGCGGCAGCGCACGCCGCCGTGCGCCACGCCCGCCTCCGACAGGTCCCACAGCGCGCGCGCCACGCCCGCGCACACCTTCTTCAGCTGCAGCGGCCGCACCGCCTCGCCGCGCGCACTGCACCCCCACACACAATACTCAGACCAGACAGTACATCGTGTATTAAGCCATACTTGGGAAACAACCATTGGTGGGCCATGCCAATAAAAAAAACTTCTTAACATTAACTAAATATCACTATTTCTGACCGACTTCTCAAAAGAAAGAGAATTATATATTAAGTTTACATCGTATAGTACTCACTATATCCCATAAGGAATTAACCCTTAAATCTTGTTAACAAACACTAATTTCAATACATGACGGCCATTACACCATCTCATGTCATCGTCGTATTGTAATTTTTGTTCAAATTATGGCGATTGAGATATGCAATTTGATTATATAGAATTAAATTACCATAAATATGCTGTACTGATTCACTTAACTGCATAATTAACTTTATCTGCCCCATAACTATATAAATACATTTTCTAATTTTGAAATTTTATCAGTCGTCACATCCATAATTCTTAGAAATCGAGTCCATACTGATAGAGAAATACAACATTATAATACATAATTTTGCATAAAAATGACAATTACCGACGCATTCGACTCGTTAATCATTTATTTATATGGTTTTCGAATACCAAATATTACTAATATTATAAACGCGAATATTTAGATAGATGTATGTTTGTAGCCTAAACTGCTGAAACCGTATCTTAATGAAATTTGGCATAGATGTAGAGGATAGTCTGAAAAACATAAACACTTCTTATATTTATTATTTTAATTCAACTTGGACGGTGTCGCGGTCGAAAGCTAGTCACCAATAAAAAAAGTTTACAGTAATCTGACTTACCGTAGATAATCATCAAATGGTCCATAAGGCAAGTATTCCAGCACCATAGCTGTGGGCGAGCTCAGAGTCACTCCGTACAGTCTTACTATCGAGCTGGACTGCACACAAGCCCACTTACTGGCCAGTTCTATAAAATCCTAAAATAAAAAGTATAGATTTTAGTTTGGATGGATGAATGTTTATCACATTATTAGAAAATAGATTAAAAAAAAAAACAAAGACACAAAGTAATTAAATGTTAACTCTTTCTAGACCTCAGTAGAGATCTCTTTCTAATCTTTACTTAGGTTGTCATTTAATAACCCTTAAATTATTCGACTATGTGGAGCAGTTAATATTACAGACCTTATAGAACAAGAAAATGTTAAATTATCGTTAGAAATACTAAGGCCCTGTCCCACCACTGGCTGATAAGAGACTCTTAAAGAGCTTAAAAATGACGTCACTGTCAGATAATGGAACAAAATCCGATATTTTAATCACATATTTTACATATAGGATTGTTATCAGATATTAGTTTGGTGGGATGGGTCCCAAATAAAATAATATACCTTTAAGTAATCCGCAGCTTTATCCCTTTGTAGAGTTTTAAAAGCAACGACAAGTTTTTTCGTTTCATCAAGTTTCCACAATGCTTTGTATGTTGCTGTTATATTCTCTGAACCCATCTTCTCAGATCCTAACACAAATAAACACAAGATACCTTACTAATACAAATTCGAAAATTTAAATGGATGTTTGTTAGGGTTTATAGCCTACAATGCTAAATGGATCACAATGAAATTTGTCATAGATGTAAAGGTTAGTCTGGAAGAACTCATAGACTATTTACTTTTGTTTTTTCTTTTAAACCATGCAGGAGGACTCAACAAACTGAGAAAAAGATCAACTGGGAGTTTTTTAATTCTCTTTTATCTTTGATACAATAGAAAATATATAGTATATTAGTAATAGTATAGTAATATGTGTAATAGCAAATGTTATGTACGCCAGTATTTACATATATATAAGAAACGATACTGGCAACTAACTCATTTTAAGTGTATAATATATATGTTGTGGTTGTACTTAAATAAATAAATAAATAAATATATAGAACTTATAGGATTTCTTATTGTGATATTTTAATGTTGAATATTAATAAAAATAATATTACCTGTATATAAGAGTATATCTTTGTTAGGCAGACATCGAGGGCTCCTATTATCTTTAAGTATTTCCTGCAACTCAGCTTGGTCTATACGAACTCCTTTCTTCACAGGCTCTCCACACAGAAGTAACTGAGATTTATCTACCAAAAATTTATAATATAATTAATAAAAATTCATGAAATGTTAAGAATTATAAGGTCTCCGAGAGCCGCAGACGCTAATAAGTACTTAATTACCATATTCCGATGGAGGAATGCATTCATTGAGATATATCCTTCCTTCAGGGTTCTGATGACAGCTGACAAGTCTTTCAATACTAAAATATTCTTCCTTATTAAAAATGTAACAGTGCCCTTTGAATTCCAACCTGTATGTTTCTGTTGTGCTGCAATGAAATATAAAATTATACCAATATTATAAATGCGAAAGTAAATGTATGGACGTTTGTTACTAAAAATTTCGCAGAGATGAAGAACATAATCCAAAAGAACGCAATATTTACTTCATGTATTTATTAATTTCACACAGACAAAGTCGCAGGCATAGATGAGGTTAAATATATAAATGTTTATCACAATGAAGTAACGAGTTTACAAATGTTAAAATAATAAGAATAATCACCTGTTTTTTGTACAAACATCGAGATAAAATACGTTGTAATCATCTTGACATTGCCTTAATATGTAACATCCATGTTTCTTCCCGCGTTTTTCTTCTAATTTACGATAAGAAAATGCTCCCCTGTACAAAATAACATTAACATAATACAACAGAATGTAAAAAAATAATTTGTCATTTCATTTTATTATCTTACCCAACTGGACCGTGACATTTTATCCTATGCAATTCTTTTAAAGAAGGCGTCTCGTCGTCTTTCGATAAATTGAACGTCCATTTTACCATTAACCTAGCAAAAAAAAAAATTATAGCAAATAAAGAAATCTGATACATTAAAAATTAAAATCATTGGTTTTGACTGTAGAAAAAGTTTTAATAAAAGAAATAACAAGGTGTAACTGTATAGCAACTGACAGTTCAAATTTAGCCTACACATGCACAGTTCAGTTAAAAATAGCGAGCTTCAATACAGTCGAAAACCAATGTAAAAGGGATGAGAATATTTTTTCGAAAAACAGTAGTAACAAAGGGTTTTACAAACCTGTAGTAACCATCACATATTGATATAAACGTCGAAAGTTGTTCTTCGGTTTTGAATTTAAAAAACAATGGCGTACCTCTTCTAGATACTTCTACGGAATTATCACCATTTCTTGTTAGATAAATTAATTCTTCTATTGTACAAACATGAAACCACTGTAAAACATTGTATTTTATTAACATTTACTATGAGTAAACTGGTGTATTTATTACAAACAATACAATAAATATTAACTCGCATATCTACTTAGCATATGTCAGCTATGTATTAACTTGTAATAAATCTTTTGTCTACAAAAACAAATGAACTAATAAACTCCGCTTTTAGGAACTCGGATGAAACTCTAAAATCTTGTTTTTCAATTTAATACAATTATTATTGTAATTTCAACTCAACAGCTACAAGTTGAAGCAAGATAAATTACATTGGCAGTAAATAACACATTATTGAAATGTAAACATGCTTACATCACGTTTTAAGGTATTGTAGAGTCTAATTCCAGGATGATGCGGATGAAAAGGAGCCACGATAAGCCGCACAGGTATTACATCACCGCCATTTTGCCATAAAACATTATCATATTCCTCTGACAGGTAATTAGGCGCCAAACCATATAATTGTTGTAGGTAGAGATTTTTAACATAGCTGAAATTATAGATAGTGTAAATATGTTAAACATTAAATCTATTTTTTTATCTATATTGACAATTAATATTCAAAACTATAATGTTAGCACAGTTTCTTTTAATAACAATAACAAAACAACTAACTGAATTAACTTTACATTTACACATCTTTCAAAACAAAATGGTAAGCAGTTATCACAAGCAAAGATAAATAATTTTAAAAGTCGAGACTTCTGGTAGTAAACAACATTTATTGCAATGGGAAATTCCCAGTTAAAATATTCAATATCAGGCATAAACCTAGATGATAACTTAGTAACAAAGATTATGCTATGGTATTCATTGTAGTAGATATAATGTTAGGATATTTCCAGACTTATTAAAACCAAGACTTTAAATAACTTCGCAAGCAAAGTAATATTTGCACACAAAGAGCTGATACCTTTTTTATGCACCATCAACTTCAGATTATTCAGTTTTTTGTATCACAAAAACTTTGTATTTCACGCCACATAATATCACGTAAAAATAGTATGAAAAAACTACACTTTTTTCATTGATCCACAACCAAAATAACCTTATTCTATTTTTAGTTTGAATAACAATAACCAAGAGTTTAGAAATAAAACTGAAGGTACATTGAGTATTATGGATGCCATTAAGCAAGATTTTTGTATCCAAATTGTTTTACATAATAAAAATTATTGTATACTGAATTTTTATTTCTCAATCTTAGCATATATATAATTATCTGAGATTACTCTTATTTTGTAGGTCTCAAATTAAACCAACTTTGATTAAACAATGTAAACATAACAATTACCTAGTAGTTTTACTAAATAATAAGAGGAGATTAATTACAATAAACACTTACTTATATGCCTTATGTAGGTATATAATCAATCAATAGATAGTCTTATTGGGAAATACCATTTGCATATAATAATCAGAAATAAGCAATATTATGCAAAACAACTTACTTGACATTATGACCCACGGAGCATAATTGTGGAAGATATTCATGAGCATATTTTTTCGGAAATGGTCCATGTCTCCTTACAATAACTTTAGGAATATATTTCTTGTAATTTCTAACAACGTCATTCAGCGGAAGCTTCTCCTCTAAAATTGCTCGAGTCCTAAAAATGTATACACAATTATTATCTGTAAAAATACACTATTAAAAAATTTAAAAAATCAACAATCAATGAACAATAGTCAATTTCTAGAATCTCAGCCATGTACATGACAATGCTTAAGATCAGTAACATTTTATAAAAAGCTATCCTTGGCAGGGACACTGCTGCACAACCAAATTATTTTGTGATAAATTAAATGTTATTTAAGAATTGACTTCACATTGTTATTTTATCAAAAACTTTAGGAGTATTATTAATTTACTAATATTTGTTTGGAAAATACTTATATCAATTTTCAATGCTTACATTTTTATCAGTGACTAACATGCACTTTGACTTTAAGATAAAATATAAATCTTCATTACGTAATTTACAATTAGATAAATTACACATTTATACTTATAATAAATCTGTAGTGTCTGATTGTAATATCAAAAGAAATGGTCCAGATTTTGGGAAGATGGTGTATTTGCATTGCTGATAACGAAAATCGCATTTAGAATTTGGTTGTCTTTCTGTCTGACTGTAAGCCATGTTTGTTCAGGGTAATCTCTAAAACAGCTAAACTAATTTTGATTGACTTTCACTAAAGGATAACTGACATAGATGGCCATTTCATATGCTACTTTTTTAATCATAACATTATGTGGACAAAGTCGCAGGCAACAGCTAGTATAAAGTAACATTGTATATTTAATTTTATGAAAAATGTTTAACACAATGATTAGTAGCAAATTTAACAAGTTAATAATTAACTTTAAGATACAACATGCCTTATTATTCTTTAACTCTTTTTTCCTTATACTGTTTTACATACATTTGACAATTTACCTCAATAACATCTTTTTACATTTGCTTAGGTTATTTTAAGACAGTCTGAGACAACATGTAATAAAAATATCTATATTTAGGGGAAAATTAATGATCATCAAAACTATTTTAATTGCTATACTTTTGCTTGTCGGACTTTGTAATACACATGCAAATATTTCCATAGTTCTAACATATTTGAACAATTCTTATCACTACTTACATATCTGCAATGCCCAATCCGAGTAATTCTTGTTTGTGCTCTGGATACTTGATTTCTTGTACCTTGTTTTCATTGACATCATTCCGAGCTTGTTGAAAATAATAGTCATATGTTGTTTCATCCAATGTTATTAGTAGTCCAAGCCTTGGTACCTGTATAAATAATTAAAATAAAAAAATAGTAAATTGCATCAAGAATTTTTTTTTCAAAAGGCACTCAGCATGTTTTTATAGTATAACCAGGCTAGGACAGGCCATTAACAGATCTCATGTCTGCAAAAAGTCTCTAAACAAGCATAAGATAATTCAGAATAAATATGTTTTGATTGCGAATGCAATTATAAAAAAATAAATTTGAGGTTTACAGATTTCATTACTAAAAAAACAAAAAAAATGTTCAAATGATATTACCATAGGCATGTTTTGAATAATAATTGTAAAATTTCATGACATTTTTTTACTTACCTTGAAACGAATTCTTAAATCATAATCGCGAGAGCTAGCAAGAACCAGACAGTTATCTTTAAGGAAATAATCAGTGCCTTTGACTCTTAATGCAAATAAAGTGCGCGTCAGAGGTGGTATGTTATACTTCTTGCATAAAAGTATGCACAATTCCTCAGCTGTAAAACTATTTGAACACGAAATAATATTAGGGGTACGGTCGGTAACCACCGATACTTTTACAGTATCCACCGATGCCATAGTTTATTTTGTAGACTTAAACCACAAAAAATCTGGCGACGCCAACAGTGATAACACTTGTTCTACACCAAAAAGTTGAGTATTATATTGTCACAATATTTATATATCACGTTCATCTTGTTTTATGATAGTAACATCTAGTGCACACAATAAATCAATTAAATAACAAAATGTTTATTTATAAACCACCTAAGGTCACCACTACCACTACACAACACACAACACTGGCGCTGCTGTGCTAAATCTAGAATCTGTGACTTGTTCTTGTCATAAACCAACACTAATCTCAGTGATCTTAATTGAGAGACAGGTCATTATTTTGAAGTGGCAGATTTTGCTTCGTTCCGACATAAAAGCACCACTTGATGTTACTGATGACAGTAAATTCTATCTCCACTACTAGTTCAAAGCCTAACCACTGCTACTAACCGCAACCATCAGCACTGAGATGGCAAAAATCTAAAAGGCACAAAATTTCACAACTTTTAGCCTATCCTTGTTTACAGAGTCTAGGGATGGCTTGAAAACTTCGAATTTGAAATAGCCTGCGCGGTCCTCACTTGGCCAGTACAGTTGGACAGTTGGGACGAAAAGCGACACTCACTGACGCCTATAAGCGTTAACACTTTGCCAGTTAATTGACGGCCCAGTCAGAGCGCTTCGGACTAAATGTACTGGCCAAGTGTAAATCGCGCAATTAAACTTTCACCACTGAGCTTTTGATTTGTGTAAATTTGAATTGCAATAATTATAATTAAAATTAACAAAAATCATTGTATTCAAGAAACATTTTATAAGTTACTTTTTTATTACAATACGACTAGAACGCGGTTTTGAACACAAATCATTTTAATATCGAAAAAATGATACACTTAAATAAAACTTTCAATTACATTTACATTAAATAAAAAAGTAAAATGTTTTAAGTTAGAATATATAAATATTACTTTACTTTACTTAGAAGATAGGTATAAATTCCTAATTCCTACACTTTTTTTCAAAATCATATCCTAATCGAGAAACAACTTGAAAACAATTAGATTGATTGGAATCGATGTATAGAGAATCACTTTTTTATCATTTAGATTTTAGCCGCCATCAGCCGCCATTTACATTCTGTCGTCGGTTGTTAAATGTCTTTGTTCGCATTTTTTTCAAAAGTCCATATTTAGTACATTAAACCAGATAAATATTAAATATATCAGTAAGTACTGTTTTAGTATACAACATAAAGTATTGTAATGCATTATGAACCTAATGATTTGTTAGCATTCACACGTGTGAAGAATTTAAATGCCGGCCCTCGGCTTTTACTGTTTTTTTTGGATAAAGTTTAACTTTTATTCTAAAGCTGAAAGAAGTTTTGTTTTTAACGTAAAAGATTTTGCATAACTTGTTACCAAGAAACATATCGAGAAATTTCAAACTGCAATTTGTTGAAATTTTCAATGTACCTTTAGGGTAGATTTAGCTTTGTAGTTAAACGCCATACATATTTCTCAAATTTTCTTAACGTTTCTTCTAAAATATTTTTAATTTCAATTAATTACTTGTATTATGTATCCAATAATGTAAATCTATGGCCTTTTCAGATAATGGATGACGAATGGGATGATTCTCCTGCAATTGTAAGTATTGCTAGCAAATAACCGTTATTTTTTGTTTCAATAGTACAATGTTTTTCAACTGTATTACTTATGCTGATAGGTATTACCACCGCCGGTAGCTAACAATGGCTACTGTGAAGATAAAGTGGATGAAGGTCACAGTTTATCCAGGGGCAGAGGCTTTCAGTCATTTAATGACAATGGTATGGTTTCATATTATTTTATCATATTCACAGTTAACCTCTATCTGGGCGTATAAGGTGATTTTCATTTGTCTTGTTTGCAGATTATTCAAAGGACACTGACAATGGGTTTGGGGAAAGAAGAGGCCGCGGAGGCGGCAGAGGTCGTGGCGGTCGTGGCGGCAGGGGAGGTACCCGGGAACCCAGAAATTTTGACTCAAATGGTAATATCCTAGATCATACTCTTATAACAAACTTATCATTCCCTTTATAAAGATAAGATTAAACTAATTCTAAAAATTGAACATTTCAATTTTACTTATTGTAAAACTTAGTTACCCAATTGAAAAAAGTGGAATATGAAATAACATGTCATATCAGTAAGATTAACTAGGATTGTATTGTCAGAGTTGTCATATACTATAAGTAAATGTTGAAAATAACCTTGAATTGTAGTATTGAAAATATTGTCCCACATAATACTTCATACTAATATTTTAAATGTGAAAGTTTAGATGGATGGATGGATAAATGTTTTTTAGAGTTTGTAGCCTAAATGGCTGAACTGTTCTGCATGAAATTCGGCATAGATGTAGAGTATAGTCTGGAAGAACACATACTTACATTTGTTTTTTATTATTTTACACGGACGGAGTCATAGGCGAAAGCTGGTATGAACATAAATAGATATGGATTTATATAGGCGAGTAAAAGGAATGAATTATTTTAATAAAATGATGCTAAATAAATAGTGGTAGAGTCAAAGATAATAATAATAATGGTGGGTAATTATAAATAAGTTGTCTTGGTTGTATTTTTAACTCGTAAATAACTGTCATAAAATTTTATAATAGTTTACTTAGTGAAATGATGTATCAATCATTTAAAAGTAGGTAAAACCTATAACCATATTGACATAAGTATTGTTACATTGAAAATGTAGGTAGTATATACAGAAGTTGATAATGGTGCAATAAGCAAAGAAAAAGATTCATTCTTTTAAAAGTGCTAACGGTTCAAGGTATTGACACCATAAGAACCACAATGTTTTAAAAATACATGTACACTAGATATTTTTAATTTAACATATGTATATTGTTTGTTATTTATTTCTCTACTATACATCTTTTTTCAATCTCATGTTTTATAGGAGATTTCAATGACGAGGACAGGGGTGAGAGGGGTGATCGTGGAAGGGGAAGAGGTAGGGGCAGGGGAGGAGGTGGCAGAGGTGGAAGACACAATGATGGTGGTGAGGACAATGAAGCGGGAGGTGATGATGAAATGAAGAAGCCGCCAGTAACCTATGTGCCTCCGGAACCCACAGACAATGAACAAGAAATGTTTAGCAGTACCATTAGCTCTGGCATAAATTTTGATAAGTTTGATCGTATTGCTGTTAAAGTGAGTAGTTTTTATAACTTTTTTAATATTTACAGTAACAAAAAGTACAATTACAACATTTAATAACTAAATTGAGATATATGGTAGTCTAAGTAACTTAGATTTTTATTATGGTTGTTTAATGTAATAAAAAGATGTTATTTTGGAGTCTTGTTTGATTATCTAAGGTTCATATATTTTTAGGTGAGTGGTGAAAATCCTCCACGACCGATAGAAAGCTTTGAATCTGCAAACTTAAGGAAGTCAGTGTTGGAAAATATAGCAAGATCGGGATACAGAAAGCCTACGCCTATACAAAAGCACGCCATTCCGATTGTAACAGAGGGCCGAGATCTTATGGGCTGTGCACAGACTGGATCTGGAAAAACTGTAAGTATCACAAAAACATATATTTAATCTTGAGTTCGGAAATATTTGCATTGCCAGTGTGTAATAACTAGTGAGGGGAAATGCAGAAAGAGGAAATTTCCCGTTTCTACGTGTCCCTTCTGTTGGCAAAGTTTAGCTTTACTTCCATAGCTTTCTGTTAAGAAATTTTTAATTGAATATGATAATCTATAAAAAAAAAATTGTCACTCATATAACTATAAGTTGTTATTGTGCAATATATGTAGCATTTGTTCTAAGGTCTTAAATCTATTAATGAATAATAATTGTTAATGAACATTTTAATTTTTTCAGGCAGCTTTCCTTGTTCCTATAATAAATAAGATACTCGAAGAGGGGGCACCATTAACTGTGAGCCCTAATGCTCAACCACAGGTAGGTTTCAAAACTATTTTTTTTTTTCTTAGTATTTCCTAATACTTCATTTACACACATTATTTTTTACAGGTTATTATAGTTTCACCTACAAGGGAATTAACACTACAAATATTTAATGAAGCAAGGAAGTTCTCGTATGGTTCTGTGGTGAAGGTTGCCGTGGCATACGGAGGTACAGCCGTCCGTCACCAGAGTGATAACATTTCTGTAAGTTTTTTTTTTCTTTTAACTTAATTTGTGACATTTCGCCCGCGAATCTTTTCATGCGAATTTAAAATCTAAACTATTGTTTACATTTATGCCAAATTTCATTGGGATGAGTTCAGTAATTTAGGCTACAAACACTAACAAACATCCACCAATCTAAATCTTTGCATTTATAATATCAGTAAGATAAGATGTAATGTGTTAGCGCGGCTGCCACATCCTGGTGGCGACGC